GTAGAGCTTCGATTATATATTATATGTAAAAAAGAAAATATTTACAAAAATAATTAAATAAAACAATTTAAAAATTGTCAAATTTATTAAAAATTGAAATTTATTAGTAAAGCTTACGATTAATCTGCACTAGTTAATATGTATAGTGAAACGCACAAATGAATATTTTATGATATAGCAATATATTGGTTATTATCGATATATTTTTTCATTTTTCTTTCAGTATTTATAATTCATTTTTATATATAAACGTTAGCCTTAGTGAGTACATTTTGTAAGTCAATTGAAAAGTAGCACTGTAAAGTATTTTCTATCCTTTGAGAATTGCATTGAAGTATTATAAAGTAACGGCTGTATTAAGAAATTTAAACAGTAAGTATAACATAAAAACATCATTTCTTTATTTTTTCCTTATTTTATTATAAATTTATATTTTATTTATTATAAATTGTATTTTATATTATATATTAATGAGTTTTTAATAATATGTAGAATTTACTAATCCTGTTATACAAAACACGTGCATGATAAAAATGAAGACTAAAAAGAAAACTGAAAAGAAAATGGCATATGGCATATTCGATTTCGTTTTTTAGTATTTTTATTAAAATTTAATAAATAAATTTACAAAATTATTATTCAACATCACAAGCACATTGAAAACATTAAACTTATCTTTATTTATTAATTTAGATGAAAAAATGGTGAGGCATAATAATCAGTTACCAGAAAATCTTCCACAATTACAAAATCTAATCAAACGTGATTCAGAATCCTATAAAGAAGAAGTAAGTTTTTTTAAATATATTCATTTAATATATTCAATACACTTTTTGGATGTTTTTATAGTTTCTTCAGCAATATCAGCACTACAAATCTGTTTTGGAAGTATTTCGTTTAACACCAAATAAATTCAATAAAAGTCTTGATGAAGTAGTTATCTTTCTAGCACAGGTAAGTTTTATAATATGTAAATTTTTAATTCTGATAAGTATACACTCTCTCAACATTTTTATGTTATAAGACTCTCAAATATTAGAAAATATTTTTTTTTACAGGTATAATTAACAAAGTACATGAAAAGTAGCATTTATTTATTATGTTGTAATATTGTAAAAAATTGTTTATCATTGAGGAACATTTAAAAATAGTAATTATGGAAAAATATTTGGAATATTTAATGGGAAAGATTATATGTCGTAAGAAAATGATAATGCAATTGTATTCTCTAATTGGTTATTCCGATGAACCAATGCCACATAGCATATTTATTTATGGTCATGTAGGTACTGGAAAATCTCTAGTAGTACAAAACATGCTCTCCTACTTAAAGTATAATGTAGCTATAATTAATTGTATAGAACATGTGAATAACAGACATATATTTAACTATATTCTAAGTGATTTATCATTACATTTTAATAATTTTTCAACTAATAATCAAGCACAATATAAGTGTGATAATTTTATTGATTTTATAACAAGTCTTAGAGAAGTTTTTACAAATGATACTCGTCCAATTATAATAGTACTTGATAAGTGTGATAGACTGCGTGATATTGATGTTGATTTATTATCTGCATTTTCAAAACTTAAAGAATTATCAAAAGTTAATGTTTGTGTAATATTTATGAGCGATGTAATATGGGAAAAGTTCCGTGTCAAAATAGGTATATATGAGCCATTTAAAATTCATTTTTCACAGTATACACGACATGAATTCATTGAAATTTTATTCTTAATTAGGCCATATGGTTATGAAGATACATTTTATAGAAATTATTTAAATTTATTTCTCTCTGTATTTTTTCGATTCTGTCGAGATCTCAATGAACTTCATTATATGGCCAAAATAAATTTTTCTAAATACATAGAACCTATTAAAGTTGATCAATTTAAAAAAAATGACACTGCTTTGTTATGGAGAAATGTTTCTGCTACTTTTAAAGCAAATTTAGAAGTTATATATTTGCGGGTGTCTTCTGAAAATTTCACAAAACATAATGAATTATCTAAGGATATTGAGTCAACAGTAAGATTGGCATTAAGTTTTGAATTACCATATTATGCAAAATATATGTTGATTGCGTCATATCTTGCTTCTTATAATCCTATAAAGGAAGACAAATATCTCTTCATGAAACAAAAATTTAAGAAAAAAAAGAAACTGAGTGGCAAAAAGAAGATGATATTAGACGTCTCTTGTGGACCTTACAATTTTCCAGTACCTAGAATGATTGCAATTTTCTGTGCTATCCTCAATGAAAAGGTTGATATAAATGCGAATTTACTTGCACAGATTCCATCTATGTGCCAACTTGGTTTATTATCAATTGTTGGAAATTATAATCTGAATGAACCGAAGCTCAAGTGTTGTGTATCTTATGATTTTATACTTGTAATAGCTAAAACTGTTGGATTTAACATACAAAACTATTTATATAATCTTATACATTAAGGCGAAAATGCGTTGATTGAAACCATATGATTGTTTTATAAATTTAATTTAATTTTGTATTTATTCATTAACTTTTTATAAAAAATAAAGTATTAAAATTTATAAGCATACTATTTTCCTTATGTAAATAGATTAGTTATAGTTAAAATATTATTATAATCTTATTTAATTATAAAATGACATTGCTTAGATTAAATATACAATTTATATAACTCTTTCGTTTTAATATAGGTGGCCCATTGTTATCCAAGTACATTAGAATCATTTCCTCAAGAAATCATTGATGTACTGCAAACATATAATACAGTACTTGATAATGATATGCGATTAGTAAGTGCAAAATACTACTAAATAAAGACTAAATCAAATTTTATTATTCTATAACCAAGTAAAATCTGTATGTTTGTTGCAGACATTTTGTAAAGCTTTAATTCAACTACGTAACAAATCTCTTTTAGAATCCACTATACTTTTAAGTTTCTTTTTTAAACTTTTAAGATGTCAAGATAAAAATTTAAGGCTGTTTTTGAAAACGCATATTATTACTGATATTAAGAATGTGAATGCAAAGCAAAAGAATGCAAAAATTAATATGACTCTACAAAACTTTATGTTTTCAATGTTAAAAGATTCTAATGTCAGAACTGCAAGAATGTCGGCAAATATAATGATAGAATTGTATAATAAAGGTATTTGGAATGATGCGAAAACTGTAAATGTTTTGGCAACAGGATGTTTCACTAAATCAACCAAAGTTATGGTTGCTTGCTTGAAATTCTTTTTGGGTACAGACATAAAGGAACAGGAAAATGAAGAGAGTGATAGCGATAGTGAACCAAATATTAAGGAAATCATGATGGCTAATAAAGTGAATAAGAAAACGAAAAAACGCGAGAAGCAATTAGTGAAAGCAAAACAGTTGTTAGCGGTAAGTCGTTAATGTTTGATAAATTTTATGTATATATTTTATGTACACATTTATGTGTACATATTTAAATTTGAAATGTTTTAGAAGTCTAAGAAGAAAATGATGAAAGCACCAAGTTTTAATTTCTCAGCATTACATTTAATTCATGACCCACAGGGTTTTGCAGAAAAATTATTTAAACAGCTGGAAAAAAATAATGATAGATTTGAAATTAAACTTATAACATTGGATGTGATTTCAAGACTTATCGGTTTGCATAATTTATTTCTATTAAATTTTTATCCTTATCTACAAAGATTTTTACAACCACATCAAAGAGGTAATTTTTTATTATAGCAAAATTATTACTAAAATGAATAAAATGTGATGATATTTTATTTTTAATGATTTCAGATGTAACAAAACTTCTACAATTTATTGCCCAAGCTTGTCATGAACTTGTACCACCTGATACATTGGAACCAACTGTAAAGATATTAGCAAATAATTTTGTAACAGAACGAAATTCTGCAGATGTTATGGCTATTGGGTATATATATATATATATATTTACGTCTATTGAATGTTTCTCAAAAATAAACTTATTTCAATTAATGTAAAGTTATTTTAAATATAGATTGAATGCTATCAGAGAAATATGTACACGATGTCCTTTAGTTATGAATGCAGATTTACTGCAGGATTTAGTACGCTATAAGTATTACAAAGAACGAAGTGTAATGATGGCTGCACGTTCTTTAATTACGCTGTTCAGGAATCTGATACCTGATTTGTTACATAAAAAGGATAGAGGACGTCCTACGGAAGTAATCATTAATTCTAAAATTCCAAAATATGGTCAAATTTGCGCTAATGATTTTATACCAGGAGCTGAAGTTTTGCTTGATAATAAATTTGATACTGTCCAAAAAATTTCAAATGTTAATGTTAAAAATGACGTAAGTACGTGAACATACTGTGAATAGTTATTATTTATGCTTATTTATAATTATTTTAATAAAAAATATTTTATTGATAAAACTATGATTATAGGATAGTGACAATGAATGGATTGATGTAAATGTTTTAAATGATGGAAATCGTGTTGACAACGACGACGATGATAAACATGATGATGACAATAACAAACATGATGGTGACGATGATAATGTCGATGAAAAAACAGAAAAGGAGAAAATGGTGGAGAAGGAAGAAGAGATGGATAATGATAATAAAATTTTAGAGCTATGTAGTATTGAGTCTGTGCAGAATAAAAGTAATGATGTTACTGAAATGAATAAAAGTGGAGAAATAGACATTAAAATATATGAAAATAGTGTTACAAATGAAGATGTTAAATCTAAAAAAAATAATATCAATACAGAAATTAATAATGTCATAAATCAAAATCAAGGAATGATATATGGCCCATTGTTAAGCCTTGAAAAAAAACGATTAAAACTGAAAAAACAAGAAACTATAAAATTAATAGAAAAGAAGATAATTACTGAAGAGAAAAAGAAAAAGGCAACTTTGGTATCTATTGGACGATTATTAAATGACGAAGACTTCGTAAAAATAAATGCAGCATTGGCAAAACAACAAATAACATATGCTAAGACCGGCTTAAAAAGATCTCACCCTAACGATAATGAACGTGAAGATTTTGTCAAATTGACAGATATTGAAAATATATATAAAAAACGAAAACATGACAAGCAAACTCGCATTGAATCAGTAAAGGTTAGCATTAGTCTTGTTACAAACTGTTAAAAGCTTCATTATTATCATTGTCATGGTTATTAGTATTGTTACTACGCATTGCTATTGTTATTGCCATTATGATATTGCTATATTTGCTATAGTGCTATAAGGCAAATCACTATTGCTATTACTATTACTGTTACTGTTACTGTTATTGTTATTATTATTATTATTATTATTAAACACTACCATTATAACTTATAAGTAGAATTAATTAAGTATAAATAATATTACGATAAACAAATATTTAAAATACAATTTGAGCAAAGTGAAAAGTAAGAGATAAAAAAATGTACTTTTTTGTTGATTTATATAATTATTATTATCGTTTGTTTTCTTACAGAAAGGACAAAAGGAAAGGGAAAGATTCGGTTACAAAGATAGACGACAGAATCCACTTTGTAGTAAAACAAATCGTGAAAAAAAGAAAACTAAAACATTCCAAATGTTAAAACATAAAGTAAAAGGAAAAGTAAAACGCTCCTTTAAGGAAAAACAAATTGCTTTGAGAAATCATTTGCTAAAGCAAAATAGAATAAAATAATTATACACATGTGCATACATTGTATGTATGTATGTATACATATAAATAAATAAATAAATACATATACAGATTAAACGTTTTCCTGTAGCATAAAAAAGTTATTATTTAAACATTGTTAACAAATATGGATATACCGAATGAAATATTAAACATTTGACATTTTTATTTGCACAGATTTATTGTTTATTGTTATAAAGTTTCATTTACACACCTAATTACAATAATGCATGAAGAATTATCATTTTAACGACAACAGTGCCATCTTGCAATAGATCATATCTCATCGAGTGTCAAACGCGATAGCAATGGCGACAGCAATAGTATTCGTATACAAATACGTTGTGATCATTACATTTGTATTATATTTATATTGAATACGTCACTATTGTTATCATTGTATTAAAGTCAATGCGATTATTCTTTTGTAGACATTGACATGTGCTTTTGTGAGTCAAAATTATTCATAGTATCTACTTGTTGGTTGCTGTTTATCTAATTTAATGCCGGCAAAACGATATTCAAAATAAAAAAGTATTAATGTTGATTTTATTATTTGTGATTTTATAGGTTATTAATATTTTTGTTTAAGCAAAATAAGGTTTTAAATTTAATAAACTATGTTGATAAATCAAGATTCACAGTGGAATGGTTCTACCACATCTGAATTTCAAACGTTTTCGGACTTCGGAGCTATGGGTGTGTAAAATTCTTTTTAGCTTCACTCATGTTTGTTATAATTGTAACTGTCATATTTCCTACAGCAATTGATTTCATTCTTATTAATAAAAATATAGTATAATCGTTTTAAAATATTATGTTTAATAATATATATATATGATTACAAATAGTTAATATTTGTAATCATATAAAATTTTTTCACCTTTTATCATTTTATCATTCAGGTATTGAATATATTTAAAAACTGTAATTGTTTACTTCTTTCAGATGATTTATTTCAAACTTTAAGTTCTGAACTAGGTATTCCTTTATTTTTCGAAAGTGAAATACCTCAAAAGGTAGATAATGATATTGATAATCAAATCACAAAAGATATATGTACAGGGGAATCATCAAATAATTTCGAAACATTTGATATAAATGTTCTACAACAAAATTCAGGTATTTTGTACATCGTTTCCTTTTTTTAATAACTTATTGCTTATTGTTAGTCATAAAAGTATAGACACTAATATATCATATTACAGATTTAGATGTTACTAATAATGTAAAAATGGAAATTAAACTGGAACCAGCAAGTCCTTATATGCAGTTGCCTTTGTCTCCTACAACAAATAATTGTGAATCCGATAAACTAAATTCACAAATTAAGACAAATTCTATTGCTTCCTTTCATGATTTTAAGGTATAGTTATGATGTTTCCCAAAATTAATTACAACTTCAATATCTACATACTTTGCATGTTAATTTGTTGTAGACAAGTTTGGAAACACCACCTATCTCTCCTCTCCAAAGTGTTACCCCACCTATATCTCCACAACCAATTTCAAAAGTAACTATTGCAAATCAAATGAAATATATGCCTCTTAAACCTCAAGGTACAAAACAAACAAAATTTACTTTCTCTAAAGCAAATTCTGCTAAACGTGTCCGAGTTCAACCAAAAAATAACATTCAACTTGTCACTAATGGTAAAGCAATAAGATGTTTCAGTTAATTTTATTTTTGATGTGTAGTTGCAAAAATCATATATTATGTTTTTATATACTTCATATTTTCCAGAACAGCCTCAAAATGCTATATTTTTGAGTACGCAAAATTTTGTTGCACTTACACAAAAAATTAAGGAGAATTCTTTATCATATCCTTTCATGACTCATTTTATACCAACTAATATGAATAATAAAATTCAAACATCAGTACAGCTTCCATCAGTGCAAATAAAAACAGAAACAAATACAGTTCAACTACCGCAAGAAAATTATGTGAAAGCAATAGATAATATCTCTAATATATGTACATCAGAAAAAGATCAAACAGCTGATATGAATGACACACCCTTAGTTCTTAAGAACAAAGCAGCTGGATGTGCCTCTATAGTTGTAAAAAACGATTCGGCTACTTGTAGACCAATAATTATTAAAGCGGAGAATTCAAGTTATACCCCGATTATTATAAAGAATGAACTGCAAGATGTTAATTTATCTGGACGACGACAAGAATGCGAAATAAAAGCGTTAAAAAGGCAACAAAGAATGATAAAAAATAGAGAATCAGCTTGTCTATCTCGTAAAAAGAAAAAGGAATATGTATCTTCATTAGAAAAACAAATATATGAATTACAGCAAGAAAATAAACAATTGAAAATGGTAAAATCTGTATAAAATTTGGATATATATTAGTTTATTTATATATTGTATTCTTTACTGATTATGGTTAAAATTATGTCTATATCAGGAAAATACAAACTTGAAACAGAAGCTTTCGCTATTGGAGGATACAAATAAGAATAAAAAACTTAAAAATATGAATTTCAATGCAAATAAAAAGAATGTTGCTATTCTTTTGGGTATGGTTTTTATGGTATCCTTAAATATTAATGGTTTTAAGTAAGTTTATTATAATATTATTATTTGTCTATTAGAATCACTCAAGGTTAAACATTTGTAATATAGAATTTAATTTAAGTTTGTAGATTTAAATAAACCTGCAAAATGAAAATTTCTTTTAGGGATATATTTTCGCAAAGTAGTCGATTAGATATGTTATCTACTGATGTTCCAATTAACGAGCAGTATACAAGGCATGGGAGAACATTGCTTTGGTCATCTAAAGATCAAGCTCAAGAGGAAGATGAAGATAATTTTCGTAAAAATATATCGATGTCACAGCCTATGTGCCCAATGCACATTAATCAGAGCGAATCAATTCGATTAGATTACGAATTGAGACGATGGATCGGTGGAAAATCAAATCAAGATAATTGGACTACATTAAAAAAGGCAAAATTAGATGCAAAGCTTATAGGAGAGTTTCTGTCACTGCCTCGTGCAATGCAAACGAAAATTAAACGTAAACGCAACTTATCAGAAAAAAATAAATCTGAAATACACCGAAAGACAAATGGTACATCGATATCGAATGCAGTGGAAGTTTTTTCTCCAATAGTAAAGGAACATGCTTCTTTGTTTGAAGCTCTAGGTAGGAGAGATGATACCTTTTATGTGGTTTGGTTTAGTGGCGAACATTTACTTTTACCTGCTTCAAGGAAAAATAGTACAGGGAGACCAAGAATGTCATTAGTTCTTCCTGCTCTCCCTATGAATGGTAAAAGTTTTCCATTTAATTCATATATAGTATGAAATAAAGAGAAAAATTTGTTTACTCAATGATTTCGAAATTTTTGTTTAGAAACGTTTTCAACACCAGCAAATCATATAACTATGATGCAAATTGATTGTGAGGTTACCAATACCCAGTTGTTGCATTTACAACAATCAATTATATCTAATCATTTAAAAAGTACTAATAGGTCTGAAAGTCATACAAACCAACCAGAAAATGTATCAGACACATTAACAGCAGATATAACTAAGAATTACAAACCATATTTTATCAAAGAAGCTAATCACAAAATGTTCCGTCAAAAAAATTTGAAAGATATATACATTGACAAAAACAATAAAAATTACAATAAGACAACTGGTTATATATTAAAACAAAAATTTGCAACTGAATTTGATGTAGAAGAGATGAAAACTGAACTGTTGAAGGATTTGAGAAAAACAGGTTCCCGTGTGAAGTTGGCAACTTCCCAAAAAAAGAAAGAAAATTGCTAAGTAGTGATGATATTCAGAGTTTGCTTTTTGTGACAATACAATAAAAAGTAATGTTAGATGCAATTCATCCACTAAGTAAGTAAATGTATTTTATATTTTTAATTATGATTAAGGCAAAAAAAGTAGTATATTTTACATATTTATTTTAAAAATCATATATCACATAGCAAATTGTGTTAGGAAAAGTTAAATTTAACATAAAGAGCTTTGAAAATTCAAGCAAGCATTTGAGTAAGAATTTAAATATATTTAATCTTATGTGTCTTATGTGTCTGAAAAAGAAAAACTATATGTATAATATGTATTTCATATGAATATAAAAAATTATCTAATCTGATTACAGATGCACAAGTAAACGTCTCATGATAATAACTTTATACAGGATTATTATACATATTTTGATTTTTTAATTTTATGAAAGGGGCTCATATCCAGATTTAATGGCTAATTTTCTAGAAATATGATCCAAATGTAAAAATTTTACACATATGTATCTACAATCCGAAAAAAGTAAAAAAGGTTTTAAATAAAGATTGACTTCAAAATTTATTACATCACAAATTAGTCAAATATAAACAAACCATTAACAAGTAAATCATTAACCTAGCTCTATTTTTTGTACATATACACATATAAAGTTTAGGAATGATACATACAAACATGATTATTTTAAGTTTGGTGTAGAACCACCTAAATAAGATTTTAAGTCTGTTATCGTAGATCGTATTAATTTGGCTTTTATAAAAAATTTTCCAAGTCTTTTATGAGCTGTATATCGATGACATCCACCAAAGGAGTAATAATAATTACCACCTAAAATAAAAGAAGGTACAGTTATATTGCACTAAAAGAACCTGTTTTGTTTATTAGATATATCATGAATAAAAGGATAAGAAAAGAAAACATATTCCTGTTATTACCTTCACTTCCTTTAATCCATAAAACATCAATAGGTGGTACCAATAATTCTGTTTCAGGATTATTTAGTGTATCTATTAAACTTTGAACCTTATTTTCGTCGATAGTCGAAGCAATAGGCCGAATTAATACGTTTATTGGAATGTCATAAATCTCAGTATTTGTATCAGAATGAATGCTGATAAGTCTTTTATTATTCATTTTGTACTCACTTTACAAACTGGTTTAAAGAGTCAAGTGTTTAATCACAAAGAAAATAGCAAAATTGAAATAAAAGATAATAATTATGTGATTAATAGTTTTTTATACAGATGATATAAAAATCTGTGTGTATGTGTATGTGTATATATATGAGGTTAGTCCAACATTTATCAGACAATATTTAAACACGTGTTTATTTTTAATATCACCAAATCATAATTATATATTTATAATTTCATACCATAAAGAAATATAGAATATTGTGTTCTTACAGTATTTAAGATAATAAATAAAATTATATACAAAATATGCAGAATAAATTTGTATGTAGAATTAATAGAAATAATTTGAATCGATAGAGGGGATAAGATGTGAAAAAAGAAAGGGAGGGGATGGTGGTAATGGTCATGATAATGTTGATGATGATGATGATGATGGGATTGTTGTTGTTGTTTTTATTGTTGTTGTTGTTGTTGTTGTTGCTGCTGCTGCTGCTGCTGCTGTTATTATTATGATAATGATAATGACACAAAGGAATAAGAATATTTTGGTTTAAAGATCTTCTGCATCATTTTTTTACCATTTTGTAAATCTTTGTAATGTTTGTTAAAATAACAATGTTTGCAATAAATTTTCTATAAATAAAAAATTATAATCAAAACAGTACATCTAAAAATATTTTGTTTAGCTAAAATAGTTGTTTAGCTAAATATAAGATTACATGTTTGGCCAAATATTTATATGCATCAGCCTGAATACTCTTTGGTGCAGATAATACAATTGGTTTACCAGTATCACAACTGTTCGCAATATTCTCTGACAAGGGAATAGTTTGTAAAATTTGTATACCTAAAAAAAGATGAAAACAGCTGACATGTTATATTAATATGTATATATGTTTATAAATTTAATACCAAGTTCTTTAGCAATCATTTGTGTTCCACCATTGTAAAGACTTATTTTATTGTTACATTTTGGGCATATGACATTGCTCATGTTTTCTACAATTCCAATAATTGGAATGTTTAATCGCTTGAACATGTTGGCTCCCCTTCTTGTTACTTCTAAGGCTGCCTTTTGAGGTGTAGTTATCAATAATGCACCAGCAATTGGGAGATTTTGTATGATCGAAAGATGTGTGTCCCCTGTTCCAGGTGGAGTATCTATGATAAGATAATCCAACGGTTCCCATGCAACTTGATGTAATAATTTATCAATAGCATTCATTACCATCAATCCTCTCCAAATTACAGGAGATTTATCATCGATTAGAAAACCCATTGACATACTACATATGAAAAAAAAAATTCAAAATTTAGAAAATGTTGACAGAGATATAAATATATGTGATAATATTGTCTCACCATTTTACACCATAATTTATAAGGGGTTCTATGAAATTTGCGTCATTAATTGCGGGAGACTGTTGTATGTTCATCATCAATGGTATGGATGGCCCAAATACATCAGCATCGAGTAAACCGACAGATTTCTGTGATTCGAGAGTTTTTAAAGCAGTCGATAAATTTACAGCTATCGTAGATTTGCCAACTCCACCTTTCCCGGATGCAACGACGATGATTTGTTTAACACCTTTCAAAGGTTTCGATTTCGGAAGACCACGCGCCATTAATTCTTTTTGTTTTATTTCAATTTCTTTCCTTTTTCGTTCGTCGAAAGAAGCAAAATGACTCTAAACCAAAACAATAAATAATTATTACAACATTAAATAAAATTAGGAAAAAATGAAATATTGAAGTCAATGTTTCATCATAAAAATTGATATCTGCATAATGTTATATTATTGTTAACATAGTACAGATTAATCATTTCTACATGTATTTGATAAAACCCAGTGAAATTGAGTTATTAAATTCCGTGAAAAATATTATAGATAACATAAAAAATGTACATACTAATGAAAACGACCGGTATTTATTCACTATACTATGATTTTGTTGAAGGCGCATATAAATTTTTATAAAGGCGAATGTTAACATTTTCAATAGATTTGATTCAGGAAACTAGCAGTACCCTTCTTCTAACCTGACATTTCAAACCGTGTGATCGTGGAATCTTTTATTTCTTATATCGAGAAGACTATGGCATAGGAATATTAAAAATTTTGTCGTTGCATACAAGTTTTATATTAAAGATTTGTATGTAGTCTGATTATGCATTTTTACGGATTTTGTTTACACTCATGGAAAATTTTAATGTATTGACTGAAAGTAATGTAAATGTTTAACGCGAGGGCGGTGTAGTTTTTCATTAAAGCGAAGTACATATCAGTAATGCGGTGCAACTTAACTTTAATTTAAATATGTGAAAGTAAGTATTCTTTTTATTTTTCAATGGGTTTTTCATTAATTTTCAGTTTATGTAAGTTTTAGTTTTAAGAATGAAAATTAATATCATTGTTTATGACCCTTCTGTTATTCATATCATCCTTAAAGTGTAGTTAACCTATCTCTTTAGTTATAACATGCATATATTGACTTTCGTTTATCAAGTAAATTATGTTGTGTACAATGCTAACTGGTATTGTATTTTAACAAAGCTTTAACGGTCAATGTTTTATTCTAAATGTTTATTTATTTGGCAATTTTATACCTGTAATAATTCGAAACAAAAATTACAATCTGAAAGTTCATGAGTAATCGTTTCATTGTGTATAATTGACATCGTTATAAATTTAATTGATATGTGAATTGTTGGTCAGTATCTTTTTGTTCAGCACCTTTCATCATACACAATATTATTTAATGCATCGCATATTAAGTTAGTGTGTGTGTGTGTGTGTGTGTGTGTGTGTGTGCGCGCGCGCGCGCGTGCGTGCGTGCGTGCGTGTGTGTTCTTACGAAGGTGTATGCGCGCGCGTTTCTGTGCCTATGGAGTGCATATTTATGCATTATCTATATGTAATAATATCAACGTATTTACCTATACACGCGTGCGCGCGCGCACTCATGCACATAATTATCAAGTGTAATATATTGCATGTTTTGAATAAAGTAATAATATGTACTTCTTTCATTATATAGATAAAACATTTTATAACAGAAATTCAAGGTGCATAGAATATGGGCCTAAACGCAGCTGTACAAGCTTTAAAGTAAGTTAAAGATGAATGGTATTTATGGTAGTGAAAGATATTTATATGTAATGTTTATTAATAATCCATTTGGTTACTTATTTATTAGGAAAGCAGAGCCTTTGAAAGACAAAGTACAACGTTGCAGAGATCTTTTAAATGATAGTGATGCATGGGTATGCCAGCAACAGCTACAGAAGATATATCAACAAGTTCTGATATTAGATTTGGAATATGCTCTGGATAGGAAAGTTGAACAAGAACTTTGGAACCTTGGATTTAAAAATTATATAGCAACTTTGCAATCTCAAGCGAAAGATCGGAAAAATCCAAAACGTGGCGAATCTCAAGCTTTACTCAGTTGGTGTTTAGAAGCTGCTAGTGGTTTTTATTTGACATTACTGCAAGAAATTTGTACTGCATTTGATTTAGATTTACCATTTAGAAGGTAATTGAATAATATAGATTATCAAATGCTTTTTATTCTGTTATAAGTTCACAGTGTAATCTACAGAGCATTCTTTAGATGTAAATTTTATAGATGCCCTACCCGTTTTAGGAAAGGTTACATTTATGGATGTACATCGCCATGGAAAGCTATTGAAAAGTTATCAGTGCCTCATAAATCTTCATGTTTTTATGCATGCCAGTATTGTCTTGTGCATTTAGGAGACATTGCTCGTTATAGAAACGAGAGTAAACAGGCGGAATTGTTCTACAGGCATGCAGTATCATTATCACCATCCAGTGGACAACCATACAATCAGTTAGCCCTTCTTGAAGCATCACGTGGTAACAAATTAGGAACTGTGTTTCATTACACTCGCTCTGTCGCTGTAAAACATCCTTTTCCTGTTGCCACAACGAATTTGGCAAAAACATTATCTTCCGCTTTAAATGATACGTCGTTTAATATAGATGGGAAAACGAAATTAACTTCTCAAGAGTATATAGCAGTTTTTTTAAAGCTTCATGGCGTTATTCATAATCTTGGCGATTTGAAGATTGCTTCTACATATGCAAAGCTATTAACTGAAACATTAACAGCCTTGGTTGCAACAGAAAGTTTTAGCTCTTGGATGCTTGTTCAAATGTTTGTAATTAATTTATATGCCTTGGAACATACAACGAGTGTTATTATGGGTAATACTGAACCATTAAAACAAGAACAATTAACATCTGAGGAAAAAGTTGCTCGTGATTGTATTTTGGATCTCATAGCTGGAAGCCTATCTGCTTTATTGTTACCTGTCTATACAATCAAAAATTCTATTATTGAGTATTTTGCTTTGCCTTCTATAAAACTGTGCCTTGACTGGATTCATACGAAACCCACAGTTTTGGAAGAACTAGCTTTTACATCGAGACTTCAAATTTGGCCCAGCTTATGCGTACTGTTGAACGCCTTGCAAAATTGCGTGGTCGATTTTGCGTATGATCAATATATTAAAGTACCACTGCCAGAGGATCGTGATCTACAAGGATTTTTACCATTGGAGAAAAGTTTTGAATGTTTAAAATTTACGAGTACCGATTTAGAAGATAATATCGAAGCTTCCAATAAATTACGCGCAGTGCGTATTCTCCGTTTAGGTCATTTCTTAGCGCAATACAGAATCAATGGAACTGCATTAATTGCTATTACATTAGGGGACGAAAAAGGTGATAACCTGTTCACGTCTATAAGTGAAGGAAATGGATTGAGTAATGAATTGATGAAAGAATTGGAAGAACTCAGTTTAAATAGAGGAAGACAGTCCGCTGTGTCAACTAGTCCAGTCCTTTCAGAGTCTGCTAGTAGTAAAGGTTCCACAGATGTTGATATTTTAGAACATGCTTTAGACAAAAGAATAGGTATATTAAAACCTCAAGGTTCATTGGAACGAAGTAAAGATACAGCTTCGATTACTATGGAATCTAGTACTTTTGAAACTAATGCACAGCCTACAACTAGAAAACCGAGGCAAAATATAGCAATGCAAACTATAATGCGCCGTGCGGAAACTGAACAAAAGCAAGTTACGTTTAAGAATGTATCTCCATTAAGTATAGAAGAGGAAAATGAGAAAAAGGCTAAAATGGGTGGAACGTCGGTGAGTCCAACAAAAGGTATCACTCCAAATGGAAATAAAAATATACCAATTGTCGGAGAAATATCAAAGTTGAACAATGTTTCAAACCCCACTACAGGTACATCGATCACCGTTCAAAATCGATTGCCGTTGATGCCTTCTGCTACAACTACTGTGCAAAGTCAAATCGTTCCTGCTCAAAATCACGTGAAAACCGTGAAATTACAACATACTGTTTCACAGTCCTCTCAAATTAACCATCTACCAGCAAAAGAACAGCAAACGACTGGAATTTTAACCCCAATGTCTGGAATATCTCAATATGTAGGAACTATTTGTTACCAAAATTCAACGTTTAATGTACAAAATCCACAATTTACGAAAAATTACGTTACAAATCATGTCGGAAACCTATCAAATTATCCGATTCAAGGACATTTTACAAATTCAACGCAACAATCCATACAATCCCAGAGTATAAATTTACAACATACAACCAATCAAAGTAGGTCTATGCATCAGAGAACGCAGACTCATAACATACCTCAGAATACATTATTACATCAAAATCTTGGAATTTTGACTTCAGCTCAGCCAAATAACGTTATACCAAATGCTTCACAAAATATTAACTCGCAACCAACTGGAAATGTTGGTCTCCCGCAAAATCGTAGTTTGAATATTCAACAAAACCATAGTTTGGCTGTGCAACAACAAAATGTTATGAAAACTAATGTTAGACCAAGTACAATATCTTTGCATAATCAAGGTACTTTAACTAGCTCAACCATTGCAAATGTTTCTACTTTGTCAACATTAAATACATATCAAAAAAAACTTCATCAAGTTACGCCTGTGGTACCAAATGTATCAAATGTGCCATGTAATTCGCTAAATCCGACAACTACACCAAATTTTCAGTTTAATTTTAATCAGAATGATTTTAATCAAAATACTTTTGGTCAAATACCACAGAAACAAGTATCATCATCTGTTTATAATAAGAATTTGGATGTTTTGGAATTTTCATTACCCAATCATGTACGAATGTCAAAAAGTCAGTCTCAGTCCACAACTAATTATCCACTTTTTCAAAACTATGAAACCACAAATTTTAATTTGTGGAAAGACACTCAACATTCACAGCTGTCTGTACCTTGTTGGGGTTCAGCTAGTAGAGCCATGAAATTGCATAATGAAGATAATTCTGTTATGGAAAACTATCATAATTGGGAAGATTCTTCTAATTCTGGAAACATAATATCACAAATTCCATTGCGAACAGCAAATAGTTATCCATCAGATTCTCAACACACCAAGCATTTTGGTGTCGGAATTTGCGACAGTTCTAGACCTGTAGAGGTATGTATTATATTTGAATTTGAGCATAAAATAAAACTTTTCTCTTTCCATCTCTCTCTATCTGGCTGTCTCTATGTATCTCTATTATTTTCTCTTTTATTATTATTATGTATCCTATTTCATCCTTATTTTTTCCCTTCTTCTTTTACTCATTTTTCGCCCTTCCTTGTGTATAATGCATACATTTGTATGTATATAAATTCTATTATAGAAATTTTCATAATTGTGCTTACAGGTAGATATGAAATCAAATCAATCAATTAGCACAGGAAACACTTACTCTCTGTTTAGTAGCAATAATACTTGGGGATCTAATACACAAAGCTGTAACATGTCTACTCAAGATCAAACAAAAACTCGGCTTAATCAACAATCTTTATGGTTTGGACCTGGACCATCTCCCTTGGAGCGCCTTTTAGAACAACAAAAGTCATTACGCGAAGGAGGTACCTGAAGGAAAGCAGTATAAGATTATGTCGAAGTATGTTGAAAAGAAATATATCCATCTTATGGATTCAACTATAACCAAGGGGATCTAGCAAAACGTACCATAATAAATTCCATCAATCGTTCGTCGAAACTGTTAAATTTGTTACAGCGGAACAGCTAGTGAGAGGTTTCGTAGACGTTTAAGTGTTCGTTATGTAAAACGAACAATACATACGTCCAAGGCGTTATGAAACGCGCTATATAAAAACACATAGATACTAATTACTTACATTAATTGTTGCGCGCATGATAGAAAATGAAGTTATTCTGATAGTGGATATTGCGCGATGAAGTTTAATAAAAAGAGAAAAAAATAAGTTCATTTCAATCTATTCGGACGTACGTTCAATTTGTGTCGCTTAAAAGTACTGATACTCAACGACAAAATAAGACTCGTCATCAATAAGTAGTTAGTAACAGGAATATCATACACGAATCGCATTATTTAACGCTAGTAGCGTGTGATTTATGAGTTTAAAGATACACATTTTACGAGAACGATTAAATCTTTCAATTTATTTTGTAATTCAAAATTATGTACAACTTATCTTTATAAATAAGAAGTTGATGAGAGGGGGGGGGGGATAGGGAAGGAGAAAATGAAAAAAAAAGAAGACATGCATACATAATGTACAAGGAACACATATTTACGTTTTTTCATCAGCAAGAAAAACATTAAATATAGTTTTGAAACTCGATATATATTCGTAAATCTTTCATTTTAAATTGAGGAAATGAATAGTATAAAATATATATTTATGACAGTGTGAAAATGGAATAAAAGTTAGTATAAAAAGTAATTTTGTCTAAATAATTGAAAATAAAAGTTATTTTTGATTATTTTCAAATACGTATGTTGAAATTTAATGAAAATGATTTGGAAATTCAATAGTTTAATCAATTTTATATCTAATACTGCTAGTTAATAAATATAACGAAATAAATACCAAGCAAAGATATGAAAAAAATAGAAGAAAATTATAAAGTATTAGCATATATCTTGAACATGATGTTTGAAAGATCTGTGATTATTCCAGTGTCATAAGTATATGTTTTATTACTAGTTTATATCCAAACAATTTGCCATTTATCAGTGGAGACATGTATTTTTTGCATATGTAGATAGTAGCTGACCCTTTAGGTCCTTAATATGATGTCATCTATTTCAAGTACAAAATAATCGTTGAATATTAATCAAGTCACTTTGATTTAACATTTATAGCAAGTTTAACAGCTTAATAATATATCACCTTTCCAACACACCACAACTACCAATATTGATTTGCAAATATGAGTTCATACAGAAACTGTTCTGTTGATACATTGTTGTCTGCAAGTTGTACATTTGGTGTTAATCCTCCATTGCTATAAATCATGATGTTAACAAGAAATAAGCCCATACTGTTTATATGAAATGCAAAGTTATAACTTCTTGGCAATATATCAATATCTATTATACATTTTTCACAAAATATTTTACCATTTTGTTGAACCTATAAAAATTGAACAATGCAATAAAAGGAATAAAACAGAAAGAAAGAAAAAAGATGTATAATGATTTTAATACCTCATAAAACGTATTTTTGTGACATTCTCTTAAGTAGTTTATAAATTTTATATTAAACAATTTATACATACAGACATGAATAGGATATGGATATAATATTGTGGAATATACTGATTGTTTGCCATAATTTTTTTTGCTATGAAATTATTGCAAATCTCGTTATCTGTTTGTGTAGAAGAGCATTTTAATCATGCAGAATCTGTTTAAATAGAAATATTTTGAATCCTCACAAGAATCTATTTTTTATAGTTAATTATATGTTGCAAAAATATACAATTTTCACGTTTACTAGTTGATTTTTCACAAATGTCTATTAGATATAATAGATATCTATTATATTGTATATAATTAATTATAATTTATAAAGATTTTTTTAAAATTATAGTATTGAAAAATAATTTTATCTATTATCTTGCATATCTATTAATTTTACAAATTATATCATTTTTAGATAAATAATATCTAAATGATATTTATCGCGCGCGCATACATACATGTACAAATAAAAGATTATACATAAGTTAATAATAATATATCTTATAACAAAATTCAGTTAATGAAAGATAAAACTTATTTATTGTATGTTAAGTTCAAAAACACGTTATATAGTATATCTTAATTAACTTCTTTACAAAAAAGTAAACTGTTAAACCTTTGTCTCGTTAAGATGACTAATTAATTTTTTAGCAAATAAGACTTTAGTGGTGTCAACAAAATTTTTTCTGTACTTTGGACATTTTTCAGTTTGTTGTAGCGCAAGTTACAAATGTGATGTCTAGAGGTACACTGTATAATCTTTGACTTAAGTTAGTGAAAACATATATGATACGCGGTGTATATAAAGTATCCTGCCTTGGCATACCTAAATGAGCCGTGAGGTCGGTATTTCTAAGATTTATAACACAATCATAAAGACAGGCTATTTTCGAGTTGGAATCTAGGAATATTGAGGGGACAATGAAATAGATGTTCTTTTAAATTTTAATTTCGTTCATGCTCAGTAGCCAAAAGATATGTTATAAAACTCGGTAATTCCAAAGGGTCACTCCGAAGGTTCTCTGATGGTAATTACTACCAACGCTTCAGACCTGGAGGAGGACCGTAACTTTTGACAAAAAAGCTGAAACTTCCTAAAAGCTTTAATAACTGGTTGACATGAAATTTAAGGACAGTAATGGATGGTAGACTCAGAATATAAAATTATAGCTTTTAATTAAATTTTTAATTTAATTTATAAATTTCAAAGGTATTAATAAAAAAAAGAAGTTTTAACACCATCTATTTAATTCTCTCTCTCTCTCCCCTCCCTCCCTCACTCACTCACCCCCTCCTTCCTTCACTCCCTTTCTCGCTCTCACCACTCCCACCCCCCCTCAACGCTCTCACTCCCTCTCACTCACTCACTCACTGCATCTCAAATTTTATATTGATGATCACCTACCTTTTGATTGATCATAACCTTTTAAAAAAATACTCACTAAATAACGCTAAAATTTACATTTAAATTGGAGTTCATGGTTAGAGTTTGTGGTAGGTTTATATTACATAATATTAGAAATTATTATGTTTCTTTATCCTTTTAAAATAATTCGTTTTAAAAAAATAACTTTTATATTTTGCCTTTTCATGTTGTTTTTTACTAATTTTTTTCCTTCTTCAATGAAAATAGATATACAACCTGACACAGTTACTAGATTTGCTCTGTATAACTGATATGATGTAATTGTACAAAATTTATATATGATATTGTAATATTATTAGGACTGACTTGAAATATACTGAAAAGATTATAAATGCTATTAAATAAATATGTTATACACAAAAATAAAAACCTGCAGTATTAATATAAATAAATAAAACTTACATGCATTATTATATTTATGAATTTTTTATATGATTTAGAAGGCTTGAAATTACTATATTAATATAAATATTTGAAAAATAGACGGGAAACTGAGATACTGTCTACCTAGGGAGTTCGATAGCAGTGTGAAACTGGAAAGTTCACTGCAGATTGAGTTAGGTGTATCAAAGCCGAATTCTCGCGTTATTGACATTTTTCCCTCAGCACGAGTAGACCGTTCTATTTTTTAACAGTAGAGTCAACTATCATATTTTATTCATGTTCAAGAAGAATTATAAATATTATGTGATATATATATAAATTAATAAAGGAGGAGGAATTGTAATAAATATTGTTCAAAAAGTATATAATTTGGTTAGAATGTAACACTAATTTGGCATCAAAGTTTTACAAGAGGCTTGATTACAAAACCATTGCGTATTGATTTTGATATTAAATATTGTATACACCAATACTTTCACGACATTTTCATGACAGTACGTGTACTATAAATTTCAAAAATTTGTCAAAAACTGGTTATTAAGTCATGTTAAATATTGCCGGTAAAAGTAAATCAAGGTATACCAGCGATTGAAATGGTAGATTATGACAGCAAGACTTGATCTATTTCTAACGTAAATTTGTTGCCAAAGTATTAAATACGATATTATATGCAAAGTTGACGCGAAATGATGAGTCAAATATATTTTTATAGTAAACCCTTAAAGAGATATGGTGCCGTCTTATAACCAAATAGTTTGCTAAATGCATATGCATATGTAATGTATATTTTATTAAAGAGACAAATTATTTATTATTTATTTTTATAAAAATTAAAAAGAAAGAAATATATATATTTAATTCTTAAATAATTAGTTCTAGTGTAACCAATCATTTTGTTGATCAATTTATTAACATTCGTGATACCTATTGACGATCATAATCCGGTCATCGATTAGCAACATACATGTACGGAACTTGAATGAAATTTCTTGTTAGCTTAAGTTAAAAAGACAAATTACTTGTTAGCTTATGTTAAAAAGATAACTGTTTAAAAATTAAAATTTATGCACACTCATATAATTTTACGAATACAAACTGATTATATTCATAAATAAGATTTTTTATATACATCTATGAATAATAAATTTTAACTATAAGCTACTGATAGAGACCAATGAAAATCGACTTGTACATGTGTGTGTGTTTACCTTAAATACCTTTATTCCCTTGCATTCATAGTTTACTACTTTAATAAAAGGTTAATATTTAATATTTGTGGCGGAGTAATGCAATAGGGGCTGAAGCATAAAATAATAAGGATTATTATGTGCAAAATGTCACATTATAAAAGATTTATATTTTTCATGTCTTCAGAAAATTTGTTGCCCATAAGGTAAAGTGATTGAGATTGAATTATATGATATAAGAGAAGAAAATTTCATAATTTTGGAATAAACTATAAATGAAGGAATTAAACATTAATCGTCTATTATATTTATAGATAAATTTCTTATTGACAATTTTCATTAAATTAATTTAATTTAATTTAATAAATTTAAATATTAGTTATAAATTTTTAAAAAGTGAATTAAACATGCATACAAGTACACATGCGTCCACACGTGTATTCATGCATATGTGCGCATATTAAGTATTTGTAATTAATTTAACTAAACAAATTTTTCAATATTTTTAGAAATTGCTTATTAAATTTACATCAAAATGCTTCGAAAAATGCGTTAAAACTCATAGAAGAAGCTTTCCTTCCACCAAAACCAAAGAGACCTGTATCACCTTTTATTTTGTATGTGAAACAAATTCATCACCATTTTACTGAAGAAGAACCTAATATAAAATATTCAGATGTATTAAAAAAAGCTTCTAAGCGATGGGCAGTATTAAATCCTATTGAAAAGGAACATTTTCAAAAACAATATAGTGAAAAATATGAAGCATATACAAAGAAATTACAGGAATATAATAATTCTATTACTAAGGAACAAAAGCAATTGTGGGAAGAAAAAAAGAAAGAATACGAACAAACTAGTATAGGAATAAATAATAAACGGGTAATTGTATTAAACCATCAAATCATACATCATTATTTCTTTTTTCTAATTAATTACAGATGCATGAAATATTCGGGAAACCAAAAAAACCATCAAATGCATACTTATCTTATGTGATGTCAAAGAAAAGTGAAAAAGATCCAAATATATCATTTAAGGTACAGTAAAATTATTTCCTAATTAAGGTCATGATTTTATTTTCCATTATTTATAAATTCCATTTTATAAATTTGTTAATTTTCATGGTTTTATATTAGAATTGGATGAAGTGTATGGCGATACGATGGAAGGAATTGTCAAATGAAGAGAAAGAACCATATGTTGATCAGGCTATTCACTTACTGGCACAGTATAAAATAGATTTAGAGAAATGGGAGATGGAAATGATACGCTCAGGTCATCCTGATATTGTAAGAGCTAAAACCTTAATGAAATACAACCTTGCTAGAGGAGAACAATAAGAATAAAATTAATGTATTGCGTTTAGTTCGACTAATTACTTTTATTGAATAAATTAATAACAATTTACTCAAATTGCATTTATCGATATTATATATTTAGTCATATTAAGATAATACTATGATAACTAAAAAGTACAGTGACCCATTTGGAAATTATATTTTCAAACAAAAAAATGTATAAATTCACAAATGTGTTTACAAATTTTGTAAGATAAGAAAAAAAAAAAAGGAATTCATAATAATTTTTCTAATACTCGAGTATCAACACTACAAACATCGTAAAGAAATGTTATAAAGTTTTCAAATAATAATTTTGCAATTTGCAAATCACCAAATTTTTTAATTTTAGTGAATGCGACTTTTTTTTTTTTAAATCAGTTTGAACACTGACCGAGAAAGCATCTTTCAAGGCATGCACGCTATTCGTTATCGCGTTAATAAAAGCAATTAACGCACATTATTAAGCGTCAAAAAAGCGAACGTTCTGTATGTAGAATGGATTCAAATGGACATAGGTGATGTTATTCTAGATTAAAAAATCCATTTTTAAAAAGTGTCGATATATCTGTTTAATAATATCGATATTTCCATACATATATTCAAATATTGTATACAAAACTTGGTTTCTATAGACGTTTATTCTTAATTTACATCATTTGAGTTTTTTAAATAAATCAATTTATTCTAATCATATATATTTGAATTGATTTCCACAGTAAAAAAAGTATGTAAGATTTTATTACAATTTATATTAATCTATGCTATGTATAAAATTAAATTACACGTTAACGGAATTGGTAGTAGCACTAAAAATTCATAACATTAAGAAGTACAGTAAAAGAATGGGACAAGAATGAACTTCAATTCACATTATTGTACCACACTCAATTCTACTGTCTCAGTGTAATTGTAATTGTACAAAACTGTAAAGTTTTAATTGAAGATGCGGTTTATTTTTATTACATTTTTTTTTTGTTTAACATTAAACAAAATAAATAGAAAATAAAATTGTTCAAATATGTTTCATTCGTAAATCACACAGTTAAAGCAACTGGAATGTCTCTATTATGTAAGTAATAAGAAAACCCATAATGTATTAGGGTGAAACTAAAAATATATAAAGCTAAATCTTCAAGTATTATATGGCTTATTGTTACTAACATTTTTAACTGGTAAGTTAACTCAGGTTTAATGTTACACAGAATCAAAGCAGTGTATAATAGATTATTCTCTTGCATTTCTCGTGTATTTTTATAATTATACAGACGTCCAAACATTATTGGAAAGTATGGTATTGTGATTGTCTATAATATATATTTAAATAATCAACATGAAAATAAAATATTTGATGAAACCGCAATAATTTGATTTTTTAATACAAGCATAGCGATATGTAATTACCTTTCCAAATAAATGATCCAGTTGCAATATAAGTAGTATATTGACAATAATCGCCAATAATATGTAATTTATACGATTTGTTAGTAATAAGGATGATGAAGTTTTTGTCCATTTAGAAATACTGTCAATACCTTTAATTTTTATACTTATATCACTAAATTTATTTCTATTATTTAAAAATAAAATAATTTTAATGTTATAATGCATTACCTGACATTTCATCATTTATATTTGGATGTGATGTTTCTTTTTGTATGTCTGTTGCAGCGCTGTAAGTTAAGCTAGATAAATCTGAATGAATAGTCTGAGCTAGAATAAAGCAATTAATAATGTTACAAATTAATAAATATTAGTGAAATAATAATCACGTGTATGTATGTTTAATAATAATTTTATGTGAGTCAAGAAAAACAAGTAAATCATGATTACCTTTTGATTCATATATATTATCTCTGCCAGTGATTTTTAATAAACGTTTTTCCGAATTTTCCAAAATTCGTTTCATTCTGGCATTTCTCTTGGCATTAATATCTTCCATATTTTTATTTTACTTTAACTGAGTAAGCGAACTTTAACTGACTAAGTTAAAATTTATTCTACTTTCTAAATTAATGGATGAGGTTTATCTTTCAAACGATACTCATACGATTTTAGGAAAAGTTAAAAGTAATTTTTGAAACCTGCAAAATCAGTATGTTTCTATAATACATCAATTTATCACGTTGTATCTGCAAAATTCATTGTCATACCAGTAATTATTAGCAAACATAAACATCAATCAAATTGATAGAGTCACTGATAAAATAACGATACTACTAATAGATACGAATTTATAATTTAATTATTCAATTTTATTCTATCTTTTGATTATGTTATCACGTTAAGTGCAAAAATTTTTTTTCAAACAATTTATGCAAAATAATTTTAACTACTAATTAATTATGTAGTTTAGAACACGTGATTTAAATGCGAATTAAGCTGCATGTCGCATAAAGTTATGAACAGTTATCGTATAATGAAAATGCGGCATATATTTAGGGCTTTGTAGCAAGTACGCTTGCATGTTTAATGAAATCTGGCAAGGCCTTTAGAGCTTTTGGCGGGTTAATCTTATTGTTAGTGTTTCTCGTGTTAAAATTTTGATAAAACATAATAATGGGAGATAAAGACGGTGGTAAGAATAACATTAATTGTTATATACGACTGTGATTATTTTTAGTTATTCGTTTAATTAAGACGTTCGGTCATTTGTTCAAAGGACGCTTTCCGTATTGTCATAAACAAGATATTCGGCAGATTTTTTTGTAAATTTCTATAGAAAGTAAAGTTTGTTGTTCTATGTCGTTCAATTTATCATTAATATTTAAGTCTTTTTACATTAATATATTTTTGTATTATAAAGCAAGTATATGTGATAGAATTATATTTCGATAGGTTATACTGCCGCAAAAGAAATATGACTTTCATTATTTCCAATATTGATTTTTTTCTTTTTTGCATTGTGCGTTAGTTATTAAATATGTATATCAAATAACCAGCTAATTTATAATGCTGTTACATCAAATTATGATTATTAATGAGTTTTGAAACATCTTTTTCATATTCTGAACCTTTCTCAATTTTTTGACTGTGTAATATAAAAATCTGTTTTATTTATTTGTTACATTTATAGGCATCTTAATGTTTTTCAGATAGTCTATTCATTTTAAAATATAAGGTGTATAATTACAGAAACTTTCGATGATGCTGTGGAAGAAAGAGTTATCAATGAAGAATATAAAATATGGAAAAAAAACACCCCATTTTTATATGACCTTGTGATGACACATGCTTTGGAATGGCCATCCTTAACCGCTCAATGGCTACCAGATGTAACTAGGCCAGAAGGAAAAGATTATTCTGTACACCGCCTTATTTTGGGCACTCATACCTCGGACGAACAAAATCATTTGCTCATAGCTAGTGTACAATTACCAAACGAAGATGCTCAATTTGATGCATCTCATTATGACAATGAAAAAGGAGAATTTGGAGGATTTGGTTCTGTTAGTGGAAAGATAGAAATTGAAATAAAAATAAATCACGAGGGGGAGGTAAATAGAGCACGATATATGCCACAGAATCCATGTGTAATTGCAACCAAAACACCATCCAGTGATGTTCTTGTGTTTGATTATACAAAACACCCAAGTAAACCAGATCCCAATGGTGAATGTCAACCTGATCTAAGGTAAGAGTTCGCGCGCTTGTGTGTATTTATATTTAATATATATTTTTTTATCGAGTATATCCGGGCGCGCGCTCGTACGCATATGCTTGCGCGTTTACCAAGAGATAGTTGTACACTGATGGTTTTGATATCTTTGATACCAGATTAAGAGGACACCAAAAAGAAGGTTATGGCTTATCATGGAATCCAAATTTAAATGGATATTTACTCAGTGCATCTGATGATCATACAATTTGTTTATGGGATATTAATGCTCCTCCTAAAGAAAATCGCGTCATAGATGCAAAAACAATTTTTACAGGACATACTGCTGTTGTTGAGGATGTAGCTTGGCATCTGTTGCACGAATCTTTGTTTGGATCTGTTGCAGATGATCAGAAGTTAATGATTTGGGACACAAGGTAATTATGTCAACACTATTGTTAACAATTTAAGTTATTGCTGTATGTACAATAAAATGTACATATTTTTGTAATTGATAGATGTAATAATACTAGCAAACCAAGTCATACGGTTGATGCTCACACTGCTGAAGTGAATTGTTTGAGTTTTAATCCATATTCAGAGTTTATTCTTGCAACTGGTAGCGCCGATAAAACTGTAGCGCTTTGGGACTTGAGAAATCTTAAACTGAAATTGCATTCTTTCGAATCCCACAAAGATGAGATCTTTCAAGTTCAGTGGTCACCGCATAATGAGACAATATTAGCCAGTAGCGGCACAGATAGACGTTTACATGTATGGGATCTTAGTAAAATTGGCGAGGAACAGTCAAGTGAAGATGCTGAAGACGGACCACCCGAATTACTGGTATTTAATAAAGTGTTTTTGTTTTTGATAATTAATTGTCGATAATGTGTGCATTGATGAAATTCATTGGAAAACGATATTATACATATGCTTATATTTGCCATAGTTCATTCATGGTGGTCATACGGCAAAAATCAGTGACTTTTCGTGGAATCCGAATGAACCATGGGTCATATGCTCTGTATCAGAGGACAATATAATGCAGGTATGGCAAATGGCAGAAAATATTTACAACGACGAAGAGCCAGACACACCAGCGAGTGAATTGGAAGCTGGCGCATCATAAAATGTATAAGGAAAGTAATTAATTAAATTATTTGATACTGAAATTTTCTAACGGCATACGCGTACTCGCGTATATACACGTGTGTGTGTGTGTGTGTGTTTACGCGAAACCAATGATCCCAATTAGGATTGAGAAGAAGATATTGAAACGAATTTGTATGTTTAAATGAAGAAAGATCAACGAGAAGCAATAATACCTATTTTTACTACCGATCTTATGTCCGCTTACATACACATATATTAGTTATACATGCATCTCCACAAATAATTAAACAAGTGTCACATATGAACTTTCGATGTTTCTTAGAAATAATCGATACTTTTGTTTCATTGACTATAATATTGCGATACATATTGTGTATAAACTTATACAAAAATCGATTTTTCTCTACGGATTCTGTAATGTCTTACAATTTTTTACATTTATATATAAAATTATGTACTCTATGTTGAGTAAAATGATTTTCGACGAATAATAGTTCATTTTGACTTGTGTCTTAACCTTGAAAAAGGAATCATGTAAGGTATCATTGCAGGATGATAGAAATACGTTTATATTATTTGAGTCTAATTAAATATTTAATAACTAAAATGTCATTGTAAAATGTCATTTATCTGAACTGATTGAAAGTCGAATGCCACTATGCATATATAATCGAAACATCAGACAATACTACGATGTTTCTTTGAATACATTTGTTTTAAGTCATCTACATTGTCTAGATGATTTGGAATGAAATTGTATGAAAATGTCATAGAAATATGTGGGAAAATTACAAGAAAAGGGTTTGGTTAGATTCACAGTTCTTATAAAATGACATTTTATCACTTTCCTATTTCTTTTTTCGCAGCCATAGGTATCTTAGACGTCTTTTGATATTTTAAGTAATAAAATACTTTGCACTTATAAGATTTGCATTTTTCCCCTTTTGTCACGTTTTCTTTCTTATAAATCATTTCTTTCTTTCTTGTCTCTTATTTTCTTTTGCCTTCCTTCATTTTTCTCTCCAGGCTCTTGCTATATTAAATCTACTAATGAATTAATTCTTAACAATAGAGATTAGAATAATCTTTGGCACTCGGTAGAGAAATATAATAAGTGTATATAATAATGGTAAAATCGCCGAAAAATCAATTTTGTTCCCATAATTAAACAGCTGTGTTTGAAAGCTCGTTGTAAATCTCGTCGAGCAAAGAATTTTTGCAAACAGTATGCGATCTATGCAAAGACATTGCATCGCTATCAACAGTCTCCAACTGTATGATTCTGTAATATGAAAAAGACAAGTTAGATTCTAGGATTAGAAAGCTAGATGAATTAATCGGATCCTTCGTGTCATTACCAAAATCTGCGTGCGAAATAGACGTCGCTTATAGAGCGCGACCTCTGCCTGTTTGTGCATGCAAAACGAATCTTTAGCAAAATATAAAAACCGACACGAGAAAATCATCTAAGTATTCTATTATATACAAACATATTACCTTTTATTGGCATTTTGTCGTTTAATGCCGTCAAGTAAGTTTACTATAGGCGGTGTTAATCTGGGACGAAATATCTATGAGGGAAAGCAATGTTGTAGTTTGACACGACAAAGTATTATTATTAAAGAGTATACGTACTGTGACGGTAGCACTTCGCATTTCACGAAGATCAATATTTCTGAATAAATCATGTACAAGGAGTTCCTCGACAATCTTGTGATGATTAGGTGAGTCACCGAATATGAATTTGAGTAGCTCGACGACCTGTATATGTGTTTATATTTTAATCAGTATCTCCGATCGAATAGAGCCTATTTTCATGGGTTCTATCAGGCAACGATTGGTCGAAATAGCGATTTCAAATTGTTGATAAATTATCTGACTTCTTGTGTGTATCTTTATCATTAAAAATTAGTTATTTATCAAACGTTGTTATTGTTGGAATATTATTAAGTACTACTATTTTTATAAACCCATGAAAAAGAAATTGAGCAGTAATGCGATATAACTAGTAATAAAGCGAATGAAAGAGAAAAAGAGAATGAGAAACAAAAAAAAAAAAATAGAGAAGAAACTTGATTAATACTTGTGGATACATTTCAACATCCGACAGATGTATAGAATTTGGCTTAAACGATGGTAATTCATAACCGGCACACATCTCAAACAACATATGACCTGGAAGATGGTAAATAGTTGATCGTTGAAAAATAATAATTATTAAGATATGAATTTAAACGATAGCCAAAATTGGTCTTACCGAAACATGTCATATCGATCGAAACAGTTTGAGATATTTTAGAAGCGATCAACGGATGTATTCGACTGGTGAAGCCGAGAAGTGTATTCTCGAGACCGGCAAGACGCGCGACCCCGTTTTGAATGAGCACGTTTCCCGAATGTAAATGGATTACAGTCGGAAATCCTCTTTCTTTCAAGAAAACCAATGCTTCCAGCACCTGACGTCCCATTTGTTGAACCTGAGGTAAAGGAAGTCCTTTACCGCGAGAACCGTACTTTTGATTCCAATCCTCGTTCCAGCCTGTTCTTTCGATCTGGTAAACAGCACAACAACGTACAAATCCAACGTTAAACGTTTAAATGTTTCATCCCTTATCTATTTCCTACCTTATTTTGTTTATTAATCTAATCACATGCAATCTCTACTTACCCCGTATATCAAATCTTTCAGGCTGCCTTGACTGATCGGTTGAACCACGATCACATAGTTTTGACTCTCGAATTCGAGAAAATCGATATCAAATATCGGGCATATGTACGGATGTTGTAAGGCTAAGAACAAATCATTCAAAATATTTTTTGTCAGTGGGGTTATGCTCAATGAGCAATTTCTGCTTAACGGAGCTAACGTAACCAGTCGATCAGTTTTTAAAGAAGTATCTCTCACGATGAACCAGTGTTTGTCCATTCTAGAACCTATTACAAATCGACAGAATATGTGAGTACAGAATGGTCCATAGCAAAACTTTTATATTACTTTACTTTAAAAGCAACAATGACTCGGGTGCCATTTTGTCATGTTAACGCATTGAGCATTTATCAATTATAAAAATATAGACAAAGAAGACAAAAAGAATCACATTTACCGAGATTACACAGCTGCTTGACGAGATTGTAACGTGGCATTCTACAAATATATGTCTGGCAGATTGATAGGGCACGGTCCCTGGACCTTTTCTCCATTTCCATGCATTCACCAGAATTCTCGCAAACGGATGATCCGTGACCCAGCGCAGTATAGCTGTGCCTTCCATTCCTATTTTTAACCACGCAATAAAGTCTAACTTAATTCCGTAATTAATACCGTACATGATTTAAATCGTAACGACGAGAACCCCTCACTAATTTTCAATGGTAATCGCTCAAATTTTAAAGCTATATTATATAGTTTATCTACATGAACTGAATGGAGTTAACGAATTAGAATAACGCATAGAGTAGATACGCGTTTATGTTATTCAACCAGGAAGGAAGAGAATCGAAAAAAAAATAACAGGATGCATTACCAATTAACGGTATCGTCCAATTTATTCGGTAAATCATAATTTTTCCTACGACCTATTTCTTATTCCGGTGAACTATTTCTCAAGCGATACCAGTAACAAATTAGATGTACGCACTAAAGACTACAAACTGGATTGGTCGTGTTACCGCTATTAGTGCACACCCATCTCCCTCTACGAATACAAAGGTTTCATTTAATAAGATGACTATTGTAACGATATCGAAATTTTAGGATTCGCGAATAGACACTCGTTCATCTCGTCTCTTTTCACGTCGTTTCTTTCCCCTTTTTCTTATTTCACGGCTATTAGAAATTAATTTTAGATTTTAGCAAAATTAAGAAGACGAGAGAATATAGAAAGAATGTGGAAAGGGGGGGGGAGAGAGAGAGAGAGAGAGAGAGAGAGAGAGAGAGAGAGAGAGAGCGCTTTCACCTATGTTGCTGCGCGATTGGTATTCGTGTTTTTCGAGATCGCGCATACTGTCAGCAATTAAGGTGATGATCAATTGCATCGCGATTGCTCATCTACATTGCCATCGAACAGCAGGTTAACAATAACAGTAAATAATGTTCATACCACAATTTTAAATACCACTAATTGTTGTCTGCAGTAAATAGTATTTCTATGTAGACACGTTATTTTGATCAACTGATTCACTTTCGACCGAAAGCAATTCGACTCAATGTAAATTTAGTTATTAGTAACTTAATGAAAGATACATAATTGATTCGTTCAGTAAATGAATCGTAATTTGAACTTATTTACGTAGACACGTATTGTAGGTCGTTTCAACGGACGTGTATCGTGCAATCAAGGGTCAAGAATACTTGAGCACAATCGATAACTGACTGCTTGACAAACAAAATTTCAGAAGTGTTAATATTACGCGAGTATAGGCTAATCGACCGGTGTGAAGCTCTAATAATCGCGTGCTCAAATAATAATTACAGGCCAAACGATGGAAATCGAATTAGACGTTCGTCGCATCATGAACCACTATTACTTGCCAAGGCTCAATATTTCAACAACAATAATTGTTCGGGTGATTCTGTTTCGTTGCAATTAGATTGTAATCAAAGTAATTTAGCTAGTATCGATCGTTTTCTCTCATCGTAATAGATCTATACATACATATATATACATACATGTAAATGACATCGTTGTTGATAAAGACACGAATGGTGTTAACTCTAGTGTTAAAGCTTAGTGCGAATGGGAACACGCAGAAAACGAAAATACGGGACGAAAAAAAAGGAGGAGGAGGAGGAGGTGGAGAAAATAAATGAAAATGTGGACCAGGAAGGGAAAGAAAAAGAGGACATAAAATGAGACATACCTGACATCGGAATCCTTGCAACCTCTTGCAGCGGATACGCGACTAAATAATATTTTGGCTAGATTGTCGATTTTATTGGTCAACTGGTAACTTTTTTCTTCATCGCTATCTTCGTCTTCGATGCTCGCGCTTCTTCCACGGCGAAGAGTACCTCGTGCGGAAACTATGGCCTCGGAATCAAGTTCAATGGCGCTTTGAGTTCTTCGATTAACGGCACGACGTTTCCGGCGCGTTCTCGGACGTTCCTGCCAGAATCTGTCGTGTCCGGTCACGTCCGATTCTTTGTGATCTTCGTCTCTTTTGTTTAAATTTTGATACAAATTGAACATTTTGTCCAATTTCTCGTCACGCATGAATGCCGTTCGAATATCGTTGAATCACGCGCGCACTCGCTTGCTTGTTCTCATAATTGATACCCCAAATTATTTTCTTAATTATTCTAATAACGTTTCACCTTCCGCGTTGATGACAATATCATTAGATCATAGGTCATACATTCGATAATCACGAATTTTTCGTTTATACAAGAAAAACATCGAATGTCTGCTGCAAACACAACAGTATAGTACATCGATGATCCACGATAAATCTATTATTTCTTACAGATTAGGACAGCTATTAATTAGAACAGCTTAAGAAACTGCCCTTTTTCATGGTACAACGCTTGAAACGAACAATTATTTCAGTTTATCGGACTGTTATTGTGCGATAAGAAGATTAAACGTCATGATGAAAAAGAAAATCGGGTTCGTAGGATACTTGATTGTTCTCTAGTATACGTGTTTTGCGATCGGTTATTTTCGCGTTTCCTCAGCATCTTATGGGTTATCTATGCGAGTAATATTCAAAATGATATGTATCGTTATTTTCCAATATGCTTTTAATATCCTCTTTACTATATAGTCACTTTTATTTCGGCTTCTCTACTAAACAGTCTGTTACAGGTAAATACTACCTCTCCCAAGATTACGTCTTTATCCTTGAATTTGTTGCTTTGTATACATGTCGGAAAACGAAACTTGTATTAATTTATATGTTGAGTGAATATAGACACAAATTAATAAACGCTCTTTCAATCCCGCGTGCGCGCTCACCCACACGTACGCTCACATGTACGTAGATATATACATATATACATACATATGTATATATATATATATATATATGTATATTTACAGTTCGCTGTTTGAAATATTCAACGATCCTCCTGTAACAATGATTGTGAACAAAAACAATTAAGAATAAGTTGTACGTTCACGTGTAGTTAAATGAGAATACGGTATAGGCTAGAAAGACGGTAATACGTGTGGTATAACTATGATACTGTAAACCGAGCGGCACTGCGCTACTACCCGTCGAGGAAGACGGCCGAATACTGAATATTCGGTATAGCCGCACCACTAGTCTAGAACCCCCCAGCGTGACACAGATTCGCTGGCCCAGCTGATTTTCTACCGCTGTGATCGCTGTAACTGCGCGTTTACGTTTCTACTTGTCGGTGAAAATATCGAATTATAACATCTTTTTACCGTCTGCAATATATTTTATGCAATATATTTATTGACCATTACACTTCATTGAGAAAATTGATATTTCATATAATTTCGATCGGCATCGCGTCTATCATGCTCAATTACGTTATGGATTACAGTATCAGTTTTACGTTTATCAAAGACGTTGATTGTAAAATGAAGCAGAGATCATTGTAATTATTGTTAATATTAAATTACGATCATCGAATCAAAATGAATTTCACCATTATTCAACCAATTTTCCTTTTCCCGTTTTCCCCATTACCAAAAAAGAGAAAAACCAACATTCTAAGATATAGAGAGGAATAAGACATAAAAAGGAAGAAAAACTGTTTGCTTTTATTCCTATATCTATAGAAACAAACGATTAACATATTCCTAATTTTTCATTTTTTTACTTTATTGCTTTTACTTGTGAGACTTTCGTCAGACTAGAAGACATAATAACGGAATTCGAATCGGACATATGAATCCGATTAGACTTAATTGAAATTAGAGCGACTGAAAGTTTTGAATTTCTCCTGATTCTCTTGTCAAACTCGAAGACTACACACATCCACATTAATCTTAAGTTGCAGTTTTATGGCTGCCCTCAGGGACATTTGAAACAAATTTCAAGCGACTGTTCTCGCTGTTATTCGACAAACAATTGTGCTCGATGTAATAAAAATCTAACTTTATCGATTCGGTTTTGAGAACATTTCATTTTAATAAGCTGTAAGCATGGTTGCGATAAGGGTTCATTGTAATCTTTATACTTGAAAGGTTTTACGTGAGATTATTATTTAGAAGAATATAAAAATCTGTTTTCCATCTTCGTACGTTTACAACGATTGTGCGTCACTGTAACTGATTTGACTTTTCTCGAGCAATTAAACTTTTAAATTGCAAGGGCCAACTGTTTATTGGACGTCCATTGTATACCTGTTATAGAATGCATTTTTGATTCATTGCTGAGGAGATCATGTATATTTAACATTAATTTGAAAGTTATTACCTGAGATACAAAATCTAATGCTGCACGACGAGAAAATTCATACTCGGCACGTGGTCCCCACTTAAATTCTACCTCTATTGAATCACTCTTTTCTATAGTTATCTTATCAAGATATTTTTGAGCTACAAAAACCTAAGGAAATGAATTTTGATTCGATGTTGAATTCAATGTTTTACCCCTGTTTTCCCCAAGTTTTTACCTCAGTTATCAAGTGATCGATGTTACCAAAATAGGCATGGTTATCCAAAGATAAAATACCTAAATTTGTAAGAAAATCCCACAATGACTCTGAAAAAAATCTTCAGGTTTAATCGATGGAGGTTATTGTCATTTTGGTGCAATGTTATACATATCATATAGCATTGTTACCTTTGGTACAGGATTCTTCATGCATAAAGATATGAGTGAGTACCAGGAATAACAGTACTTGTCGATTACCTTCCATTGCAGAAGGATGAATGTGTGGTAATTCATTTTGTATTTCATTTACTAACATATATTTATTACCTTCGAGTTCTACTAGTTCGTATCCAAAAATCTATGAATGTACAAAGAAACGCAAAGTTTTAGTTGAAATAGTTTGTAAGTTGGAGTTTTGTTTTATACCTTTGACAGAAGATTCTTCGCCTTGTTCATTATTTGAAGAAAATGTTTCCCTTGATTACCTAATACATGTTTGATTATACGAGTTTTATTGACGATTTGTTTTCCTCTGTCTAATGCAAGAAAATATCTTATCACGCTATTAACAAGGCGATTGTCTTCTTCAGAACTTTTAGAATCAGGGGGAGAGTTTTGTGAACTTCGATTGATAAGAGACACAGATATATTTGCACTTGTACTTGGAAGAGGTTGAGAGTGGGTAATAACATTGTTATTTCGTTTCTTGAAACTCGACTGCGACAGGCTTTTTCCTACGGTAGCCTTCCCATGACTTCGTGGTAAAACTAAAAGAAACAAGAAATGTGTAATTTGTACATGCATACGATCAATAACGACAAGTTATGTATCGCTTACCCATTTTATTTAAAACGATAGAAGAATATTATAGATGTATTTTATCATATAGAAACTCGTTGGAAAATATCGTTTGCATTTCACTTTTGTATCCAAGAAGAAAGGGTTAATTTTCGTGACACAGTTCAACAGCGACATCTGTTGACCATTTCGATAATGTTTGACAATGTAAATACTAATACACTCTGCGCGAATGTTACATAGGATACTAAAGGGGGCACCACTAGTTTCAACTCAGACTACGTTCATATCGATAAATAAGTCATAACTTTTATTCTTCACCACTAGATGATGCAAGTATGTAATTTTCAGGTGTATCTCAAGAAAACGGAACGTCGTCTTTTTGTAGTTAGCATGAAACGAATGACAACATTTACGCATTTATATACGCTTTGCGTAATTGCGTAATTGTGTAATTGTGTAATTGCGTAATAAAATACAAAGCAGTAGCTTTAGTTTTAATTGGAAAAAGTTCGTTCGTATTATTTACACTGTTTGTTGAATCTATGTTGCTCGAATATGTATACGATCGAAACTTGATTCCATATTAGTTAAATCTTGAATGATTTGAGCACGATACTTAATATATCGATCACTAGATACTTCAAACGAGATATCAGCGATTGCGAATCGATGTTCACGTGTATCTAGTAGGTTAAAAGTGTGGAAAAGTCGATGCGAATGAAAGGAATATGTCACGTGTCAAGTGGTTTGGAAGGAATACGTTCTAGTAGCTGTTTTAAAGAAAGATGCAAAACAATTGGTTGGTTAGTTGGTTGGTCGCTTTTTAAACACCCTGTATAGTCGCATCGTTTGCACATACCACACAACTAAAGACTAGAAGAAACTGGCTTGCATGCAAGAGCCTGGCGCCACACTGTCGCATCCTATATACGAAATCACTCTCGCATCGACTATAAGAGGAGAGTATATACTTAGAAGACGCATGCACTGGACCCTAGCGGCCAGTAGACAGAAGCAAATAGCAAAGAAATAGCGTTCCATTCCCGTTTTAGAACGCGGTGTATCATTTTGCTAAACGATTCTTATTATTTTTTTCCTCTCTTTTTCATTAGAATTTGAATATCATGCGATTATTATTTTTACCTTCGACCCTTTCGGATTTTCGTTTTCCTTATCATCTCATAATTTTCGCAAGCAGCTCATCTAGCACTTGTTCGTTTAACGAACAAGAACGTGGGACAACCAAGATTAGATAACTGTGACCGATTGGAATGCTTAAACGCGTGAAATGAGGAATGTCAAGTAGAACGCCAAATTCTTTGGAATCGCTATGAATGATAGTGGTAATGTCGTAGTATCTTGTTCAACGATCTCGTGGTTTCTGCTAACGCAGTTAATGTTGCGTTAATTAAACGGAACAAATATCGACTGCCATTTGTGTGTTACGCTTGCATTTCCGTGTTCGTTTCGATGTGTATATGGATATAGTAAGTTGGGTAGGGGGTATAAGCGAATTCACAGTACACGCGAAGTTGTTTCTCGCGTTCGTTGCAATTTCGTGGTTACAAAAATTGTTAATCTAATTGAAACAGATGTTTCGGATAATACTTCACAACCCGAGTTATCGTAAAATTTTCATTCATAACGATGTTTGAAACAATGGAACGATATTATAATGGACTACTATATAAACATTTGTAAAAATAAAGGTGAGAGGGCGAGGGAGAGCAAGAGGGGAAGAAGGAGAGAAGGAAGGAAGGAAGGAAGGAAGGAAGGAAGGCGAAGGAAGAAAAAAGAGATGAAAGGAGAGAAGGGAATAAGTTAGCCAATGAATGCGCGCACCCGCGCGCGCGTAATCTCCGTAGAGGTGTTTAGTCGTTGAGAAGCGGGACGACAGGAGAGTGGTCGTCCGTAGTTCGTAGCAGTATACGCGTACACATTCGCGTGGGTCGTCCGACGCGACGGCGGTCAGCTGGCGCCAACGTTCAGGCAACCTCCCCCACCCGACAGTATTTCGCCTCGTTAATCTTGTTTTATGTTCGCCGCTCTCTTTCTCCACCTAAATTCCACGACTCTTTTTGATCTTTTGATCTCGTATCCGTTTCTCGCTGCCATGACTCGTGACACGATTTTGTGGTTATTATATTGAAATCGATATTAGCCGCGAATCAATAAAATTGGTATACCGTCTGATGGTTCACAAGTTTGATTTCGCGTTTGACAATTCGACGGGAAGAATATAGAGACAGGAAATGATTGAGGTGTTATAGGCGAAGATCGCAAGGTTGATTATTATACGTTTCGAATAACATTTGAAAATTAAACGATCGCCATGAAAGCAATTAAATGCACCTGCTTCTGATTCTTAGCAGGTGTGCGTATACGACGAACAATAACGTTGGTACAGTGTATACCTATACATACATCGTAGTGATGTATCTCTTTCGAGCCTTGCGTTCGTTAAAACGCGTATGGTGGCAACGTTGCTTGTGGCTTTGACGCGCTACCAACACTTCGTTTCAACATGGATCGTAACTATGCATAGCTCTATCGTAGGGCAACGCTCGAGTCCCGTGTGTGATTTTCCACCTTCTTGGACATTTGTCGTCGCGTTTCTTCATCGCGAAATCTGATAACGAACGTGATTTTTTTCGGAGGTAAACATTACGTGGTTGGGTTAGATTGGACTGGTTGCCATCGTTGGAAAGTACATATAGGGAAAATGCGTGTCACAAGGATACAACTATGTAAGAAGACAGAACGAATTTCGTCGACTCATCGTTGTTCGTTGAGAACGCGATATCGATAAAAGATCAGAAACCTGTTTGCGTTTGTTTCTCGTTTTATTTATTTGAATCTTGATAGAAGTAAATGCGAGCGTGTACCGGCTCGTCGTAGTAGTTTTACAATGTAAAATGATACAGTTGCGCGTTTCATCGAAATGTACGCATTGCTTGTGCTCTTGCGAATATCTTTCGTTCGATCGGTATGTTATACGCACGCGAGTACACGTGTACAACAACAGTCGTGTCCCGATGAAGTAACACGGAAACATAATTTTACGATGCTGCGAAATCAACTTCTGTTCCTCCTTTAGACGTTTTACTCGATTTATCATTCAAAATCGTACACTTCCGCTTGTCGAATATTTCATGTTACATTTTATTATCATTAAAATTACTATTATTCTTGTCGTTGTTGTTAATATTATTATTTTTATTGTTATTACTATTACTACTACTATCATCGTCATCCTCGTCGTCACTATCGCCGTCGCCATCGCCGTCGTTATTTATCAGTCAGCAATGTATAATTCACGAACCAGATGAACAAGCGAAAGGCTTGAAAAGCTTTTCGATACGGATATACAAGGTGTATCTACTAATTGGCATAAAAAAAAATTGGCAAAGGAACGATGAAAGAAGAATTCTATCGATAAAGCTCAAGATTAAATTTATCCGGCAAACGTCGTTTAGTTGAACTATCATTTCGGTTTTCGATGATCGGTGGGGATTAGATGACGCCGATTGGATCGTGTCGGCTCGCATATCCTTTTCAGGATTAAAACCAGGTATGCGGTTCAGTCTTCTTTTCTCTTTCTAAGTTTGCCCTCTGTTTGGATAGTCCTGGATACGAGATCCACACAGGCTCCTAACGAAGCATCGTTACTTGATTCGCCTTCCGATGTATCGACAATTTTACCGAGGGTCATGATATAGCTACACGCAATTCTTAACACGGATAATTTCGTCAGGAATGGCACGTCTTAACGTATCGAATGCGGCGCTTATAGTGTGCACTCTCGTTCGTTCTCTGGCATTTGCTTCTATTCTCCTTTCACGCGTCATATTTTTATAGTTTCTCTGCTGACCTGTTACTGGATGCTGCCTTGCCTGCCCATTCTGTACATTCGTCACCATCGTTGTCGTTGTAGTTGCCATTGTTGTTATCATCGAAGCCGTTGTCCCAGCCATCGAGCAAGAATTACCGCCATTAGAGCAGGATCGATGATCTTGTTGACAGTGGGACAACAACGAAGAGTGGGAAGTAGAGAATGTGGATGACGTTGAGGAGGATAATGACGACGACGACGACGACGACGACGACGACGACGACGACGACGACGACGACGACGACGACGACGAAGAAGAAGAAGAAGAAGACGACGACGACGACGACGACGAAGAAGACGAAGACGAAGACGACGACGAAGACGAAGACGACGACGAAGACAGAGACGTCGACGAAGAAGAAGACGAGGACGAGGATAAAGACAAAGACGAGGACGAAGATGAAGAGGAAGACGACAAGGACAGAGACGATGACAATGGTGAGGTGGTCGAAACATTTGCGCGTTCTATAGAATAAGAACAGGTTTTCTCGTAACTACCGTTTACTGCTGGATGCGAAGGTACTCTGGCGGTCACATCGCCCCTCAAGACAAGCGACAATGGTTCTTCTTGTAATCTAGGATGTGTAATGGAAGATAGTATCGTAGTCGGTGACAATGTTGTTTTTGACATAATCGTAGAAGTTGCACACGAGATGATCGTATTATCAAGTTTTTGACGAGAGAAGTCTCGTTTCTCGATTTGAACAGCATATGTTTGCGTCGATTGTCCTAATCTATCGGGTAAACTCTCTCGACTTTGCGAATTGTACTGCTTTCGAAAGCTAGTTCCTTTTGAATTTTCGTACGAATCGTCATCGTCCAAGTTGCGCTTATGATTTGCGTTACCTTGTATATTATCGTTGTCGTTAGTGTTTTCGTTTTTTCCGTCAGCATCGTCAACGTCAACATTAACGTCGTCGTTGTCATTCACATCGTCATCGTTATTATCGTTACCATCGATGTGATGATTATGACGACGACGACGTCGACGACGACGATGACGACAACGATGACCAACACTATCACCATCATCATCACCTTCGTCAGCTTCATCAACATCACCATTACCATTACCATCACCATCATCACCATCATCATCACCATCACTATCACCATCACCATCACCATCACCATCGTTATCGTCATCATCGACATAGTCGGTTTTTTGACAATAATGTTGATAATGATAGTGGCGATGGTGGGAATGATGGTGCCGGTGACGTCGATGACAATGATGATCGCGATGATGATTGATACGATTCGAAGTAACGGATATCGTAGGTGACGGTGTGTTTGATAATAAAGTAAAAACACAGGAATGATTAACCATAGTTCTTTCTCCAGTTGTAATCGGCAAAGAAAGCTTCGAATCGATGCTTTTGTTGGTATAGCTCCATGGTCTAAACGGACTCGGTGATCGAAGCATTCTAGCCGATGATTCTTCATCTGGTAATGTTTCTTCCTCGATTTGCTGAAACATCCGCTTTTTCAATGGGGCCGAGTTTGGTTCGTTTCAGCCAGCTTTCTTTTGTTTTTCAACGAGATCGGCGTTACTTGCACCTCTAAACTGTCTTCCGAGGCGCTTGGAGAGTGTAGGTCAGACATGTCGTCCTCGTCACCGCCGCTACAGAAACCGGCATCCCTTTCCGAACTAGTAACCGCACCGACTGAAACGAAAAGCAAATACGAATTTTCTGTAAAAGTTACACGAGTCTTCCCGCTTGATCAAACCGGTCGTGGAAGGGGCAACATGTTAGGCGAAAGCTTGCAAATAAATTTGCAGGTCGATGCTAAACAGATGGATTTGTTTCTCCTTAGCACTGTCCTCTTTGCCATCGAATAATCGCGCTTAGTCGGCTAAGTTTAGTCATCATTCCAGTTGTTAATATATCCGAACGAAAGGAATCATTAGAGAAAAGGCAGACAATCGGGGCAAATATCGGGAACGGAATCTTTCGCGTTCTTTCGCTTTGCCTGTTCGTACGCAGATTTGAGAAAGGAGATGTCGGGATGTTTTCAGATTCGGTACGTCATCCAACTGGTGACGGTCTGCCATCTGGCGCACATGATTGCTGGATGGGTTATAGTATGCGTAGGTCCTCTTTATTTTTCTTTTTTCCTTCCTTTCTTTTTGCTTTGCATTTCGTTGTTTACCCTTTACTATTTTGCGAAATCGAACGCATATGCCTACGAATCTTATAAACGTCGAATGATTTTCATTCGCGATTGTTGCGTAGCCTCTTGTCGGGTGGTCAATGAGAAGAGTTAAAAGGAGAAAAGAACGATGCTGTGTTTTTCGTTAGAGCAGTAGGAAAAGTTGTTATATTCGAGCTACAAAGTATTTATTTTGAATGGTATAAATTATCGCGCGACAACGCGAATTACCGAATGATTTAGCGAGTGGAAACGCGAGCAAAATCGATGATTCCAAGGATAACGCTTTGCGTGACGGATGATAACAACTTGCGCGCAGCTGGTGACAGTGCGGTTCGCACCTCTAAAGAACTTATCGTGGTTTCGATAAGACTACCCCCGGCCCCCTCCTCACTCTCTCTCACTCTCTGCTGTTCGTATCGAGCATCTGCTTTCTCGTGGTAACAGCGGGATATATACACACACGCACAAGGCCCAGGCAACTTGCCTGAACTGGAAAGCGTGTTTCTCGTTTCTCGATCGAGCTTTTACGCCACACATGCGGCATAGAAAATACGTATAGTCGACACGAAGAAGTGATATAGAACGGGGAAAAAAAGTATCTTTTACACTTTCAAATTTTTACCAATTTCGTCGAAATCCTGTAGTCGAAATAGAGATGTGACGGCGGAGAATAGAGCGATCGTTGTATCGATTTTGATTCTAGGAACAAGTTCTTAGGAACACGATAAAAGGAAAACGGGGTGAATTATTATCGGCTGTAGATAATGCTGTACGAGATGTTCGATGCGCCGACACACGTGTTTCCGAATTATATTCGCGGATAACGCGTCCTACATCATGCATCTTTGTCGTTTCGTTCGGCAATTGTTCAAACAGACCGAAATAACATCTGGACATCTGTGTAAACTCGGCCGAAGGTGTATGGCTAACCGCAGCCTGGATATACCCGATCATATTTTCGTAAGGTTTGCATATATACGAACGAATAGTCACGTGACTAGTGCGATACTCGTGCGGTTTCTGACTCTATCATTTTTCTTCCAAGCTTTCACCTCTTCTTTGTCTTTTTTTTTTGTTTCCTTTTTTTTAACACTTATCCTCATTTTCATCGATTTTTCCATCGTTCGCTATATTCCCCTAATCGATAAGAAAAATGTAAGAGGCAAACGAATTCGAAAAAAAAATACGTACATCCAACAGGCGACAATTTTTTCGGGAAGAGATTTGAAAACTTGGGAAAGAAATCGACATTTCAACATTGATCTTTGTTCTTCGATGCAAGAGTTTAATAAATCAATCATATCGATACCGTCCCGAGTTGCGTTGTGTCAATGTCCCCGACTTTACCTGTGTTTCTTTGCCGGTCTGTCCTACTTTTCGCTTTGACTGATCGCTTGGTCTCCATCATTGCGGAAAATAAAGAGGATTCTAGCTAACACGCGAGTTACACCGTCTAAATATTTACACCGCGGGGGCGATCTCTGTCTTCGAGAGAGATCGTGACGGTAAGCATTCCAGGAATATCGATAGTGCGATTACGATATCGAATGACTGAACGAATCGCGATTGGAGAGGTGTTCGTGTACTCCAGTCGAACGGTGTTATTAGAGGATGCAATGTATTATCGAGCTCTGGAAAACACCATTCCGACGTTTCAAATGTCTCGTTTTTTCTTGGTTGTTCGAAAACTCCGAGACAATCCGGAAAAGGGAGAAAGACAGAGAGTGAGAGAGTGTGAGAGGGGGGGGGGG